TCAAATGAGATGTTGAAACATTTAGGCCCTAAAATGAAACGTATTTTTTGGATCTTCACTTGTGCCTGTCTGAAACTTTCCTGTATGCCTAACAGATGGAATTTGGCTTTTGTCTATCCCATCCTAAAACCCAAATCATGGGAATATAACTTAAATAATACTCGCCCTATTACTTTATTAGAATGCCCTCGAAAAGCAATCGTGAGATTGATTAACAAATGGCTTTTGGATATTCTCTCAAAAAATTCTGTCCTACAAGGAAACAATTTCGCTAGATTACCGTTTTGTTCTACATTTAAACTGATTTATATTCTCAACAACATAAAATATGATCAATTATCACATAAAAGTAAACAACTTTGGATCCTGTTCCAGGACATGTCAAAAGTTTATGACAGAGTTAATATCGCAATGTTAACTCATGCGCTTAATCATCTGCATCTTCCTTCATCATTTCTCCATTTTGTACTTTCCCTATTCTCTAATCGCTTTAATCAAATTTTCACAGCTCATGGAAATACAGATCTTTATCCAGTTATCTCAGGTATTGATCAAGGTGAAATTATTTCACCAATTCTGTGGTGTATATATTATGATCCCTTATTATGTCGTATACAAAATACTGACCTTGGTTATAATCTATCAGCTGAATGGCACCCACATATCGGTAATACCTCGACATCCGCTGTTTCAACACAAGTCTCCACACTTGCCTATATAGATGATACTCTTTAGATCAGTAAATCTAAGGATGATCTTGAGTTGATCTTAACAATAGCTAATGACTTTTACCAACTTAATAGTATTCTAGTCAACTGGGATAAATCTGTATTACTTTCTTCAGTACTGATAACATTATCCATATACTTTAGACTAGCACACAATGAAGAATGGATTAAACCAATGGATCTCAAATCATCTACTCGTTATCTCAGTATTTGGATCTCTTTTCTTCTAAATTGCCAGTTCATAAGACAACAAGTAAAAAATGAAATTCAAAACGCTACTCTGACAATAAAAAAAAAATTCCTCACAGATAAACAACTCAAAGTAGTCTTCAACTCAGTCCCCTTGCCAAAAATTCTATATCGCATTCAGTTAACATTTCTTGACTACAAATTTTGTGATCAGATTATGAGATCATATCGAAAAGTTTTTAGATCAAATCTACATTTATCTAAAAGTACCCCAGTGACTATTATTCATTCATCATTATTTTACAATATTACACACTTGTATATAACACAAATTCAAGCAAAAATTTCCAACTTCATCAAATCTATCAATGACAAAGATTTATTAGACACCACATCTCTGATCTGCTCTAGATTACTTCAAAATAATGAATGGCTTATTAAATCACCTTTAGCATTTTGGCCGTATGATGACTCCTTCAAATTTAAAGACTGGTGATCTACTCTGCTCTCTGCCCTAAATTCACTCAATATCACCATCTCTAATAGTAATATTGAGAATAATTGCATAAAAGGAGGACAATTTTCCTATGTGAGATTTTCAGTAAAACCAATTATCGCACCTTTGCTTCAGTTTTAAGAAGCAAACAACTTATGTTTCTTGACCAGATTACAACATCAGATGGTGTAGCACTCTTCACATTACCTGACCTCAAATTTTCAGCAGCTCGTCTGGCGATTCCCAAGAATCCTGCTTGGTTTCTCAAATTACAATCATTACTCATATTATCACCTAATACAAGAATCATTCCTTCAAAATACCATCACCCACACACTAATAATATATACTTAATTCTCCCAACCCATATTAAAAGTACCACACACTTTGCTGTAGGTTGGCATTTAAATTCCCATTCTGCAATAATAGGAAAAGTACTCAAAATCGAAAATGATATAGTCTACTTACAATATTTTAATGTATCACCAGACCATACTTTCAAAACTTTATTGTTAACTTGCACTAAATGCTCTCTCAACGATGATTCTTCCTTTGTTCCCCTAATATGAGAAACAAACATGAAGCTTGCTTTGTGATTTTTCCTTTACACCTATATGCTGACATCAAGACCCCTCTCTTTCTAACCGTTGGTCATATCTATTCTTTGTCCCCTTACATGCTTTATGAAATTGCTTTATATAGTTACAATTTAATTGATAATAGTACACTTATTGTCCCCCCACCTGGTCTTCCCCATCTCTTACACCCGATCAAATTTTTAATATAGAAATTTTCAATAGTTTAGATAACCTTAAAATTCACTTCTTACAATTAACTAACCTTTTATTTTACACTGATGGTTCCCTTATCAACTTAGGTACTTCTTCGATCTGTATAGGCGTGGCCTGTTTGCAAACTGATTCTTCAGCACCTTTACTTTCCTTTAATGCTTCACTCTTCCTTTCTCAACCTTTATCTTTTCTAGCAGAACTAGTAGCGGTACTATCTGCTATATACAGTAATGGCGGAAAATAATGATAATTTTTAAGCTATATATTTTTTCGATCAATCTTTAATTTATTTATAAAATATTTTAATAACATATAATATAATACCACAAGTAAATAAAAATAAAATTTTAATGGTCAATTATATGACCCTTCTTTTCAATAACGTCTTTCAAACGTTTTTTCATACCCGCACATAAATTCGATAGGAGGTCTAAATCAAGATTTTCCCATTCAGATCGAATAATTGACAAAAAATCATTTAATCCAACTGATTTTTTTTGTGCTATACGTTGATTTACCCTTTTTTCTACCCTTTTTTTCATTATAGCCCATAAGTTCTCTATAGGATTGATATCTGGAGAATAGGACGGCCAATCAAGCATTCGCGGGCATTTTTCTTGAAGAAGAATTGTTGTTAATCTTGCCTTGTGCTTGGGATCATTATCCTATTGGAATGTCCACTTTCTTCCAAGGATCCTTGTAGCACTAGTAAAAAGGTTTTTAGTTAAAATATCCCGATAAAGTTCTCCATTCATATTTTCAGTAAAACAATGAAATCTCACAATTCCGCGTGCACAGAAAGCACCCTATGCATGAACTTTGAGTGGATGTTTTACAACTGCATGTCGTGGTTTTTCTTCTCTAATCTTATATCTTACCAATGTTGTATTACGAAATAGTTAAAAAGTAGTTTCATCAGAAAAAATGACATTTTCCCATTTTTCATTTAGGTGAGATTTTGACTATTCAACTCTGCATTTCTTGGCAGCAACAGTCAATATTGGTATTGAAGTTGGTATGCTAACGTGATAACCTAGGTTAAAAAGATTTTCACAGATGGTTCTGGAAGCAATATTAAGATTTGGATATGCTTGGTTAAGTATAAAAGCAATTTCCTTGCTAGTTGCACATTTTCTTGTACTAGCTAATTTTCCAAGATGAATTCGTTTTTTTGGAGACAAAAGTTTTGGCCTTCCTGGACGTGATTTTAGTTTAATAATACCAAAATTTTTAAGTTTTCAGATATAAGTGTATAAAGTAGATTTCAAAATATGTATTATTTTATGTAATTTATTAATATCATGGACTTCATTTGTCCACAAATTGTTTATAAAAGACCGTCTTTTGTTTAAAATTAATTTTTTCGGCATGACGAAAAAAAAGATGGATAAAAAAATTTTTTTTTGCTGATCTTATGATTATTTGTTTATTTATATTATATATCACGTGTTGATTTAAATAATTATGTAAAAAAAACAAAAATAATTATTAAAAAGGAAGTGATAAGTAATGTTGATCAAGTCACATGATATTATCATTATTTTCCGCCACTATTGTATGTAGCTCTTACAAATGCTACTGTTGATATTTTCATAGACTCACAAAATGTCATTTCATCTTTTGATAAAATGAACTACTTCTATACATTCTCTCCTACCTTTAATCCCATTTTTAAGATCTCCTTTTACCCAATTTAGTTCCTTGTCATAAAGTTAATTAGACAAAAATCCATTTTCATTGAACTCCACAAAGTCAAAGCTCACTCAAATGATCATTATATTAATGTAGTTAATACATTAGCAAAAGCTGATGGTCTTCCAATCACTCTAAATAACAAATTTCTAGGACATCATTATAATCTCTATTTCAATGAGGATATTGTACTCATTCCACCAAGATTGTTCATGAAAGATCTTCTCAGATCAATCGATTTTCATAATTTACTACTATTTCCACACTTTAAAAATACAATACAATGGATGTGGATTGGATTCGAACTTCCTTCATCCTTAACAATAATGAACATAACTCTTATACATACTTCAAAGCCTCCCCCATTCGCAAATTTAAAACCAAACTTATGCTTGAACTGCTCCCTACCCTTGAAATCCTCAAGATAAGACACCCAACTCTATACGACCAATCATAGAATTGCTTTAGATGTTCGTGTACTTATGAAACCTTTAATCACGTTTGGACCTATGCCAAAATTGAACACCATGTCATTGACATTATATCCTCAACCAAAAGATTTTTCATACAACATCTCATTGCATTGACCTCAGACACTTAGGATTTTATGGATCTCTTAGATTTGACTATCTGGTCCTTAAATGATCAATCTGACTCCCTTAACTTTATTGACCTGACCAAAGGAATTGTACCCCTTTTCCTATTTAACAAACACACTGCCTTATTAACAACCTCCAATTAACAAACAGTCTTCTGTCTTTTACTTACCATTATGCATTTTCTCAAATAAAATCCATCTGGCTTGATCATTGCAGTGATATCAAAAATTTTGAAAACCTCAACAACATCTCACTTAAAGATCGAACATTACATTTCACCAACACTGGCTTTTCTTCATCACCATCACATGTTTTTAGTATTCCTCCATACTTTATTTCCTCCTTCAGGTTTGATACGAACTGATCGAATTTTTAAATCGGTAACAACCACACCCCTGTACTAGATGGTTGAACCTATTCGAAGTCGATTTGGATAGGTTAGTCTAGAACAATGCAAGGTTGATTTTGATTTGGTTTTATTGCTAAATAGAAATTTTTGTACTCTCTATCTTGTAATTTGTAACTTTGAAAATTTTACTTTACTTCTAAATAAAGATTATACAAAGCTAACGCACGTTAAAAAAAAAAAAAGAATATTGTATAATAAATAAGAATAAGATATAGGTGAGTCACGTGATATATGTTTCAAATACTGTGTAAACTTAGAAATTTGTTTTATTATATATAATATTAATTTAATTGTAAAATTTTCTATTATTTTTTTTTGTTAATTGAATAATTAAATTTAATTTAACAAATATTTTTAATAATTTAATTAATAAAATAATTTAATTTTTTTTATCTTTTAATTATAAACTTATATTATAATTAAATAATCTCTTATTTAAATATAAATGATTAAATTTTATAAGATTAATTAATATTTAAAAAATTAATGTTAAATAAAATCTAATAATAGATTAATTATAAATAATTATAAAAATAATAAAATAAAAATTTATATTTTAATAAATTATTATTTAAAGAAAATGTAAAATATTATATAATATAAACTTCTATTTATGCATAAAAACTAAAAAATTTAAATACTTTAACTTTGAAGGTTTAAAGTTAAAATAAAAATAATAATATTATTGTATTACATAATTTATTAATATAAAAAAAAAACTAAAATCTATTATATATCAAATTTTATATATTATTTTTATACTTTTTTGTAAATTATATTTAAAAGTTTTATTAACAGTAAAAAATTTTAACTAATGCAAATTTTTTTAATTTTTAAATATTAGAAGTTTATAATTTATTCAAAATTTAATAAATAATATGATTAATAATTTTTTCTTAAACTTTTTATTCTAACTAATAACTTTAATAATAATAATTTTATTAATACATATATTATAAATTTTAAAAATCACAGTTTTTAAACTATAAAAATACTATTTCTTTTATTTCTTTAAACATAAATTTTAAATTATTTTTAAATAAAATTTTAGTAAATATTATTATTTCTATTTATAATAAAACATATTATCAATTATAAATATTTTAAAAAATAACTATATAATAAACCAATATTTTAACTAAATTATCTTTGACTTTTCAAACTTTTTTATCTTTAAACACATTCTTTATATAATAAATAAATTAACAATATATTAAAAAAAACTATCAATAAAATAATTTACTATTACAACAAATTAGTATATATTTTAAAATAATCAATCTTCTTATAACTTATTAAAAATAATTTCTAAAAATCAACATTACAATTTTTAGATGTAATCATTATATAACTATTTATAAATAATATATATAATAAAAGACTTACATCATATTTTAAAGAATACTTTCACATAATCTCTCTTAATAAGAAAGAATATATTTGGTAACATAATACCTAGTGTATCTGTATACTTTAATCAGATTGTTTTTATAAATATAGATTGGAAATTTCTCATTGAAAGTCTAAATCATAAATCAATAATGAACATAATTCTTAGATCAAATCTGAATATCATAAATAGTATCGCGAAAAATTATCACAAATGGAAACTGAAGTAAACTAATTCAGGATATATAGTTAATCATGTATTTCAAATATTTTGACCTTTTGGGAACGCATAATAAGAGAATTAGATGAATTTCTACATAAATCGTAAAATTTAACTGACTTCTTAAGACTATTCTGATTGAATTGATATAGACATTATGTTAAACACATCTACTTTCTAAGTATCCTAATTATCAATAAATTTTGAATTTTATGTTTATTAATTATAAATATTAAACGATATATCGCGGTAAAAAATATATTTCGATATGGTAATAATAACCTAAATATATTTCTAATAAGCTAGTTGATCATTAAGCTATGTCTCGATACTGAGAGTTTTCAAACCAACAATTCCAACACCTTTTACTAAACCCACGATATAAACACCTATTTTCCTATCACTGCCAACCTTATAAATTCGAACATTTTCTTTACCATGAAAAGTAGCTTCAATAATTTTTTGTAATTCTTTATAGCCATCTCTTTGACCATAAGGATCTTCAGCATGAACAAAAGTGAAAGGATTAAAAAATTCTCCAAAATCCAATATATTATTACTTGCATTTTCTTCTTCCGCAGAAGATTCTTCTTCTGTTATCATTATATTGCTAACATCGTTTTTCTTTATTAAAGATTTAAATTCTTCACAATTACTTGGTAATTCAGACATTTCTTCATTTGGTATGAAAATGAATTCATATGGTTCTTCAGCTTCAGAAATATATAATAAATCTGAACTTGCTTCCAACAAAGTTTCTCTTATACGTTGAATATCAGCTGGGAATGTTGTTGGATCTTGTTTTTGGGTTATTGTCAATGGTTCTTCTTTAGGTTGTATAAACGGCTGCGTCTTTTTTTCATAGTTTTCAAGAAACGAAAGGTATTCTGCGTCTTTTGGATCCATGGTTTTTTTTTTTTTTTGGAAAATTTGAGTAAGTTGATGTAATTTTGTCAATCTGTGGCTTATCAAGGTAATTTCGATCGGTAACACAAAAGATCAATATAAATAAGAACTTTCAGAATATGGTGCCTTTTTTTTTAATAAATATAATTATGTTATTTTTTCATAATCCTAATGTACGATCTTTTATTAGAACAGCTGCTTGGGGTCCTGTAATTTTATTTTTTGTTGAACACGGTTTTAGTATAGGATCTATTCAAGGAAGATCTATGCAGGTATATACAAACACTTTTGAAAAAATATACCTTTAAAATATCTTTAGATAATTTCTTTTCCTTGATTTCGAATTAATTTAATTGAGGATGAATTATATATAACGTGATTTCAACGAACAGAAAAAAAAAACCTAGAACTTTAAAAAAAAATCTAAAAAATTTTTAGCCAACGTTTAACCCTGATTCAAACAAACTCCGTAGAGATATTGTTTTATTAAATCGTTGGATAGCAGTTACGCATGAATACTCAAGAGGTGACGTAGTAACATTATAGTAAGTAAGATTAAATTAATCCTTTATTTTCTTTTTTGAAGGTTATTTTTGAATTTTATTTTTTGAATGTGTAAAAAAGTGCACCAGATGATCCGGATCGCGTGATAACAAAAAGAATAATTGCATTAGAAGGTGATACCGTATTACCTTTACCTCCTTATCCTGATAAATTTGTTAAAATACCAAGAGGACATTGTTGGGTTGAAGGGGATGAAATATTTCATAGCAAAGATAGCAACGAATATGGTCCGGTAAGTTAATTTTATATTTTTTAGATATCAATCATCTTATATTTTTTAATCTAGAGGATTATTTTATGATGTATAGGTACCATTAGCATTGATAAATGCTAAAGTTTCTTACATATTATGGCCATTTTCAAGGTTTAGTAAAGTAGAGCGTATCGAAAACTCTCGTGTTTCCGTATTTAAAGGAGATCCTTTAAAAGACCAGGATTAATAATTATACAAATATACAAATAAATTGTTATATCATGTGAGATCTGAATGAACTTCATAAAAATGGATGAATTTATTTAACGTAAACTGTTTCAGCAAATATTATGATGACTTGAAACACATTCAATAAAATACATTCTTATTTTATATCCTCCACTTTCTCCCACTTCTCTCCTTTGAAGATTCAATAAGAATCTATTAACTAAACCAGCTTTTAATCTTTTCTCCTAAAGTACTTTTAGGAAGTTGTTCCTGATATTGTTTACTTTTACCTAGATCTGAAGACCGTTTATCTTGTAAACTTTGATAATAATCACCACCTTTACCATCATTACCAGGTCCTAAAGTTTGTTGAGAACGTTGTGAACCTGATTGAACTGTTTTATTCGGTAAACCTTCGCCAGTAGAGGATTTTTCTTCACGACTCATTGATGCTTGTTCATTTCTAATATTTTCGATATGTTGATCATGTAACTGAGAAGCGTCTGATGAATTTGAGGCATCTGGTTTGTTTTTAAATAAACGAAACATTTTTTTTTTTTTTTGAAAAAAATTTTACAAGTTCGATAAGAAAAATATATACTATTTATATACTATAAATATAATATAATATATAAATTATTGATTAAATAATTATTATCTCATTATTTTTTAAATGATATGGTGTTAATTTGTCAATATGACTACATTAGAGATTTATTTAGCATTTTACACAAATATGGACAAGGCTTCATTTGATTTTTTAAACTAAATAAACAAGCAAATAATATCAAATCAGTAAATAATAGGGTATCTATACAATTATTATAAATATACACCATATTTTGTCATAATTTGATATTTTTTCTTTCCAATTTTACTTGATAAGTATTATTTAAACTAATTCAAATATGTTTAACATATCTTTACTGAAATTCCAAAAATTATATTTATTTTTTTAAAAAATATTAATTATCTAAATATTCTTATAATAATAAGTTATTTGCAGGTTTTTCTTATATCAAAAAATAAAGATCTTCTATTTTAAGCATTTAAATATTAAATTTTAAATATACATTTTCTTTATAATTATATTATCTTCAATATTTGAGTCTTTAAACTTCTTTATATAAATGTAAAGCAGTAATAGACTAGAAATAAAAAGCATAAGAAACTAAAAAAAAAGAATATTATTGAAATATATAATATATCAAATCATTGATCATTTTTGTTAAATGATCTTAAACTTTTAAATAAAATGTATAATTGATGTTGCAGACTACAAAAAGTAAAAAAAAAATAATTAAGGTATAAACTATTAAATATAGGAATATTAAACAGTTTTTAATTAGTTCTTACAATTTAAGAGATTACTAACTTTAGAGAAGTTTAATAATTTATTTATAATAAATAATCCTAATCGAAAAATATTATAAAAATTTTATAATCAATTTGTAAAAAGTGAAAATGATATTCAAAATTAGCAATTTAATAGGACTGCTATTTAGTTCTAAATTCTAAAATTTTAAATTTTAAGAAATTCTAAGATTCTAAGAGAGTTTATTATTTACTTTTATTAAGTAGCTTATTAAAACATTATCTTTTAAAGTATAAGTATAAAATTAATTATAAATATTTTAATATTTAGTAATCATAAAAGATAAAATAAAATTTATTAGATTTGTTATATTAAAATCTATTTAATAATAGTATTTTAAAATTTTAAAATAAATAATTATTAATATATAGGTTGATTATTAGAAAAATCAGGTTCTGAGAATTTTTTAATAAAATTGAGATTTTTATTACATTTTAGTTTTTGATATTATTAGATTAAAATATATTAAACTCTTAATTTAAATTAAAAATTTCTCAGAATCTGATTTTTCTAGAAACCCTCCTATATATCCAATTTTTAATTTTTAATTTTTTAAAATAATTTATTAATTAATAATTATAAAAATAAATTAAATTTAGTTGTTAGATTTATCTCATTAAGATCTATTAAATGATTATATTTTTTATATTTCTAAAATTAATAGATAGTAATATATATAAGTTTAAAATTTTAAATTTTTTTCATAATAGTTTATCATATATTTATCTTTAAAACATTTACTAATTAATTACATTTTTTTTTGAATTTTTATTTAGAAAATATTATAAATTTATTAAAAAAAACATTGATTTTTAAATAAGTTATTTTAAAATATTATAAATAATTTTAATTATTAAATAAAATTACAAGCAAATTTGATTGTAAACATTTAAAAAGATAATAAACAAGTTTTATAATAAATTTATAAAAATATTTTTTGTAATTTTTTAGAATTTTTAAGAATGTTCAAGATTGCTTAATATTTTTAGTTAAATATTTTAGTGAAAAAAAATTATATATATATATATGATATACTTTATAAAATTACATGTAAGACGGAACAAATTTATATAATTAGTTTTCATATCTCGGCTGGATCAGAAAAGCGGGATTTCAAAATTTTTTTTTAAATTATAATTGATTAATAGAAAGACTCTATTTTAATATCACATAATCAAATTGATTTAACACTAATTTATTATTAAATTCATTATATTTATTATCAAAAGAATTAAAAGAATTTATTGACTTTTTGTTTATTTTAGGTTTTCATATGCTTTTGATTATTTTTATTACCTTATTTCCATCTCAAACATTTCTTTGAATTAGCAGCATTACTACTACAATTATTGCAATGTAAATATTCACCCTTTGCTGGTTTATAAACATCTAAGTTACTATATTTAATACAAATATCTAGATAAATTCCAGTTGAATAGTATGGTTTTTCTACTTGTGATATACAAGACCATGAATCATTAATAAAAACTCTTAAAAAGAGTTCACAAATTGAATCTCTTATATTACTATTAGACTCTTCCTCTACAGTATTATTGGACTTTTTATCTTCATTTTCAGATTCAAGCTGTTTATTTTTATCTTCCTTATCTATGTTTTCTTGATCATTAACTTTATCACTAATATTATTTTCCATATCATATTTTAGTGATACAGTCATTGCCAAGTCACATGTACTATGAAATGACATATTACAGGTATAAAAAATCGTATCTAAAAATTTTTGTAAGGTTGTTTTATCTTTTTCGAAAAGTTTTTTATACTAAATAGAAGATGTGACTTTTCACATTCAGTGCAATTTATAGTAATACCAACATTTTTTGCACATATAGCAGAAGGACAAAAAGGCATAGTGTGTTTTGTCTTTGTAGTTTTTATTTCACCTTTCTTTGTTTTTACTTTAGCATTTACAAAAGAAGACCTAAAATTTTTTGTTATTTATGTATTATATAACTCCTCAAATGACTTGTAATGCAAGTCATTTTCAGGTACTGGATTTGAAAGACAATGTAATAGTTCAAAATCTTTTTGTGAATAATAGAGAGGACGACAAATGCTACAGTCCAATTTACCACACTTCTTAATTGTAAAAAAATAATGCCTTACCATGCAACAATGGTCTAAAAATTTCTACAGATATGGTTTTTAAAATAAAGATATGTTATTTGAGCTTTTTTTGTATAATTCATTTAATTATTTTACTTACTCTTATTTTATTTATTCTGCAATGCAGTCTTTACAAGTAACACTATCATCTACAATCTGAATCATTTTCCAGAATCTCTTTATCTCTATTTCTGATGCCGCAGCAAATGTTTTAAACAGCTTATCTTTAAGAAATTAGCAGTTAAATACATCATTAATTAAATAAATTAGAGCTTAAAGGCTTTCAATAAAATCTTTCTTACAGTTAGGATGTTCTTCAGTAATTTTACGAATTTCATTTATTGTATCAACTTTACCTATTAATTTTTCTGATTCATCGTTCATCTTAACCCACATTAAATCTATACTTTATAGTTCTAGATTTAAGATAGATATGATATGTTCAACGGGATTTTTCTATGAATGCTGTGGTGGAATTCGGACAGCAACAAAATAATCGAGATCTAAAGCAATAAAAAGGCAAATGTAAAAGAGCTGAACATGAGTATATGTGCAATAATAGTTTAGTCTACTATCTGTATAGAGACATAATATAGGTTTATCTGCAAGCTCTTCTTTAAGAAGTATATAATATAGTTCTGTTGCATGACAAAGTGGTAAAGAAGGTTGAAAGATTAGATCCTTTAATCTGATATGTATTTTCCTACATAAAAATCACCATTTATTGATTGGGTATATTACATATTATTGTTACACTCAGTATGATTCCTGTTTTAGTATAATTGTGATTAATAACTGTGAATATAGTATCTCTACTGGCCACAACTTTCTTTCCTCTCTCTACAGCAGCAACAGGGAATCCAGGTTCTTCAACCTTATAATGATGCTTATCATCCAAAAAAATAAAATTTGTGATTTTACAAAACTGAATAACAAATTCTTTCTCATAGTGAAATAATGCTGATGCATAATAAGCATCTAAATGATAGGCTCATAGTTGATGTATTTGAATCATAAATTTTAAAGGTAAATTATCAGTGAATTACAAACTATTAATTCTTGTCAGATTCTTGAATCAGAACTGTAGTCTCAACTATTGTGCACTGAAAATTAGTGTTTCAGATGGATATTCACGCTTAATTTTATACAAAAGATCATTCACTAAAATTGCAGTTGCAAGATGAATGATTAAATCATGTCTGCATTCATTTACAGCGATCACAACATCCACCATCTTTCCTTCAAGATACTGAGTTGCAATTTCCAAAAAATATCATATTTGCTAAGTCTTTCATTGTTGTGTTCACATAAATTAATTGTGATTTCTGGATTACTGAGATCTAAAGCATTTCTAACATGTTCATCAATTTTGCTTTATTCATAGTTTCAGTTGCAGAGGTATTGCTTGTTAACATATGATAAATTGCTTGAAGTGATGATGGCTTAGCTTTCAAAAGAAGTAGATCATAGATACGTAGATAATTTATTCGCATTATTCATATATGGTAATGAGATGCATCAGCCTGTAATTCATTTATGATCCATTTATTCTCTTGTAAAATTATCATCTCATTAACTTGTTTGTTAATTTTCCATATTGAAATTGTATTAAAGCATTATTTTCAGAATTAAACTGATGCTCTCCAATTGTAAAGGAAAATGCGTGAGATAAGCCTTAGATATAATGCATCCTTGCTCTATATACAAATTATTTCATTAGCTTATATTGATATATTAATAATAATTTGATTTTTACTTATACAGAATCAATTGGCAAGTACTCTTCAATATTGACCGCTTTACACATTGGTAAATTAATGAGCAATTTTTCAAGATTATGATATTTGATCTTGTCAACAGTTGTAACCTAAATATTTCGCTTATAGACTTTGATTATTGTGATCTGATCAATAGAATGTATAGGAGTTTTTAATGCATAATTTATAGCAGTAATATCACGTTAATATCACAGAAATCTAACATAATTTGAAACAGTAACAATAAAATTATTAAATAGATTACAGAACCAATTAAAATTTGCCATTAATAT